CAGAAAGTAACCAATTTCTAGCCATGCACAACTTAAAATTGAGCTAGCTAGCCATATAACAGAAGATGCATATACGGATTTATATGGATTACCTTCTCTTCAACAGATTTGGCCCAAAATCGTGCAGTGGCTCTTTCATAAGCTTCTTGAGGCAGCAAAGGGTTTTGGTTCCACTTTTCATCAATGTATTCGAGTATAACGAAGGACTCAGATATCACGTTTTGGCCATGAATAAGTACAGGGACTTTTTTGTGAACTGGGTTGAGTTGCAGAAGTAGGGAGCTCTTGTTGAAGATGTCTTCTTCTATGTACTCATAATCAATGCCCTTAAGCTTCAGTGCCCATTCGACTCTGCGGCTAAACGGGCTAACCCAGAATCCCAAGAGCTTCACCTTTTGATTTGCCATGAGATCTAAGATTTAATGGGTCGATTTATATATAGTGGCATGGTAGCATCTTTTTTTTTTTTTAAATGCAGATCTTTTGGTGGAAATATCCACCGCCAGACGCCATCTTAGACTTCAATCAACGACTTTCTGGCTGCTTACTAATCAAAGGAAAAATGTAACTGTTTGCTTCTTATTTTTTATTGATTTTTTTTCTTTGCGTTTTTTAGTTAATCCATAAAAGATTATGTGAAAATTTAAGGACATTTTCTTTTGGTTTTCTAATTATTATATGACATTATCATAAACATATATAAAAAAAACTTGATAAATTAGATTCTTCATCAAAGAAATTGAAAAATTAAAACCAAATAACATTCTCATATCATAAATATTGTAAGTTTAAATTTGTCAAAACAAACATAGAATCTTAAACTTAAAAGAATTGATTCCTTAAAAAAAAAAAAGTGATGAACAATGAGATACAAGTCATTTGATTTTACCAAACAATCATATTAACTATATAATATCCATATAAACCAAAACAAAAGTTTAACGAATAAAATTATAATAAAAAAGAAGAAAATTACCGCTTTATGCATATAAAAAATGAATAATTTATGACTAAAAATGTAATTAAAGTTGAAGTTTTATCTTAATATGAAAATGTATATATTAATGATTCAGCCAGAATTAATTTTTGCATTAAACACATTGATGCACTTTTTCTTGATGAACTTTAGAGCTCCCTATTGGTCAATGAACAGAAGATGAATCAAAGTTCAATTGTAGAAGAGCAAGCTTTAAGAGCTTATGTCTATACTCATTAATCAAATTCTGGAGCAAAGGGTAGAGATAAAAGTAAAAGAGGAGGAGATCGAAATGGTAATAAACACTCCAAATCTGATTATAATCAAGCTCAAGATAAAGTAGATGCCAATATCAACATTTTGGCAAATCCAAGATAGAGTGTTTCAGGTGCCATGAGTTCGTTCATTATCATTTTGAATGCTACATAAAGCTATCTAATAAGGAAGAAAAGGGAGAAAAATTGTTGCAAAAGAGAGGAAAATAGAAACCTTGTTGATGGTTGTTTAAGTTGATAAGAAACTTGAGGCATATGTTTAGTACATTGATACAAGCTACAGTAACCACGTGCGAAAGCAAGTATTCTTTTTCTTATCTAAATTTTGGTGATTGTTCTATTGTGAATGTGATGAAAAAAATTATTTTCAGCTAATTTTTTTAACTCTGATAGATTAATTGTCTGAGTGAGTCGGTAGAATATTTGTTCATAGATGTATTAATTAATACTGTAACACCAGAGCTCAAAAATTGACATGAGATAATTTTACGCGTTATGAAATATATACATATAAATAATTAAAAAAATTATTTTATTTTAATTTAATTGAATTTTTGAGAAAAAAATGAATTAGGGACGAAATTGAAAATATATTTGGAAAGAATGGGTGAAAATTTAAGTTCGGGAGATGTTTTTGAAAAAAAAATTGAAAACAATGGGTCAAAGTGCAAAAGAGAAAGTTCGACCACGTAGGACAACCAATCAGCAGATTCGATGAATCAGAGCACCGCGTGACCAGGCGCACTGACGTCGGTGCCACGCAGGAGGGCACGTTGGCGATTTGCGTGCCTCGCAATCGGACGGCCGAGGATCTATCTTGCGCACGTGGACAGCCTGGATTCATTTTCACCTTAGACGCGATCGAACGGTTGAGATTAAACGTGATGAATGGCTCAAATTTGTTTTCTCCTTATGCACGATCACACGGATGAGATCGATCACAATGGACGGCCCAAATTAACGCAGAATAGTTATAAATATTTCACATTACACGAAAACCTAAAACCTAGCTGCCAGCCCCCACCGGAGAAGAAGAACCAAATGCCGGAGAAGGAGGCCGACCGCCAATCGCTGCTGCGCCAGAGCCACTGCCAACTACCAAAAAAGGTAAAATTTTCTCCTACCCGCGCAGAATTCGATTTCGAGTACCTTTGTGACCAAATCAGAGTAAGAGGAATGACGGGTGAGCTAAAAACTGTGAGTAAAGTCCGACAGAGCCGTTGTGGCTAAAACCCCTCAAATAAACCTCTTTCCGATTTTCGTTTCACGTAATTTTTTGATCATTGTGCTCATCTCTTATTCTATGCAGAGTAGTCGAAGAAAGAACCTCAACCGCGAAGGAGGACTAGCAGAGCTGCCGCACCTGGAGGTTCCCCCCAGTAGGTTTGATTTTTTTTATAGATTTTCCAGCCAACCGAGGCTCCTAACATGTTTTTCTGTAGGAATACGACCAAAACTAGTCAAAACCAATCAAAAACTGGCTAGGCCAAGGTGAATCGCCACCTTAGATGACGGAGCTGGCACCGGAGCACAGCACTGCCGCTCTGCCGGAAACCCAAAAATTTGTTGGAATGAGTTTTGGACACCAATTTTGAATTTTTGAGGTATTTTTAGGTGTGTGACGAGTGTTTTGAATTTCACATAAAAAAATTCAGGAAACTCGGTACCCGTTATGAGGCATGATAGATAGCTCAATATCTCGAAATGTCGATCCGGGTAAGGATCCCTCACTCTATTCTCTATTACGGTAAATTGATGATTAACGATGTATAATTTCATATTTTATGAAAATATAAAAAATCCTATAAATAATTACAGGTTACTAGTGGAGGCTGAACCAGTTAGCTCACAATTGTCTTGATTTCCTGTTTATTTTCTTGTACTGTCTTACTTACTTGATTTTCATATAGTACATGTTCTTAATTTATATCTTTAATGGTTTTATCAACTTATCTGGTTATTTTGGTTATATACCGTTAGCATGAATGTAGTTCAATTGATCTGTGAATTGATGCGTTATTGGTTGTTTATTGATGAAAATTTATGTGTGAAATATTTACTGGGTACCTAAGGAAAAGGCTAACGGCTCAGTACATAAAGAACCCTACCGTGAACGTTATCTCAGTCGAATGG